TACATAATGTTTTTTTGTAAACTGCATTGTGCATTATATCACTGGAATAGAAAACATACTCGTTTCTTCTTCTTCTTTTTTTCTACTGATGATTTTTTTAAAGGAAGACTTTTTTAGATTAAAAAGATCATAAGGGCACACTATGGTAAATCAAATAAATATTTTTTAAAAAATAACACCTTTTCCTCTGAAACTCAGATGAGAGTATCTTCAAATCTTAATGAAACTGTCTGTCCATGATGCAAATCCCCGCCCAGAGTGCACGCCACCAGGCCCACTGCTATGTGCGAACGGTGGGCTGAGAGGGAGCGTTAGCCTGTGAGAGCTTTGCCAAGGCCGCTCAGCAGAGCTGGAAGCTTCGTGCAGGCAGACCTTGTTTTTATCACGCTTCGCTTTGCTGCGCTTCCCAGATATTTCGTTTTTCTCAGCATCGAGGCAAGACCCTCAACCAGCAAAATATTACCACTCGCTGAATGAAGGCTCAGATGGCGGTTAGCATTTTATAGCAATGAAGTCGTTTTTAATGAAGGTATTATACAGTGTATTTTCAGACACCATGCTATTGCACACTTCATGGACTACAGGAAAATGTAAACATAACTTTTATGTGCATTGGGAAACCAAAAAAATTGTGTTAATTGCCATAGCGCAATATTCGCTTTATTGTGGTCGCCTGAGACTAAACCCACAATATCTCCAAAGTGTGACTAATTGCTTAAACTCCAAGAAGGTCAGAGTTGGAAGCTACCTTAAATGTTACTGCTCACATGGAGAAGTGAAGGAGCACTGAAGGGGCTAAGAGTGGGGGGACCCACCGGTGCCTTTTATCCTGCCACACACTTAGACTCTTAGAGGCGGAGCTAGCAGCGGGGCGAGGTCACCTGACACAACAAAGTTGAAGAGGATGTTCTGCCCTCGGGGAGGTTGCCCTCTAGAATATCGGTCGCCAACCGGTGGTCCGTGGACCACTGGTGGCCCATGGGGTCCGAAAGGTTGGCTACCACTGCTCTAGAAGGAAGGATAAGACAAGAACACAACTGTGACAAGAGACTGGAGGAAATGCTTTTAGAATGGAGAGGGGGAGAGTTTGTCTCTTCGGAAACAGGAAGAGCTCCCCAGTGGAGGTGGCATCTTCACGGGGTGTTAAAAGACAACAGGAAGGAGTCCAGCCAGCAGAGATAGGAGCAGAAAAGACACAGGGAGGGGCGGCAGGGAGTATGCCTGCGACAGAAGAGTCTGAAGGGGCCAATGGTGGGGAAGCACAGAGCAGACGCTCCAGGGAGGAGTTCTGTTTACCTGGAATACAAAACATGTGAGGCAGTGAAGGCAGGCAGGGCCTGACGTGAGCCTGAGCAGTCCCACTGGCTCGCGAGACAACCGGCTCACCACTGGGTGCTCAGAGCGGGCTGATGTACTCAGAGCAGCACCTTAAGAAGGTAAGTGGGGCGGCCAGGGGTAGCAGGCACTGGGAGAAGAGAGATGAGGGTCCAGGTATAGAGGGGAGAGATTACAGTTTCAAGAGATGCTCCTGAACCAGAACCCACAGGGCTGGAGGGAGGGCACGAGACTAGAGCGGAGTCCAGTGATGAGCCCAGGTCCGGAGCTGGAGAGTGAAGGACAGGGGCCCAGGCGTGGGTCACTTTGAAAACACTTGTGTTTGCTCCAGTTCTCCAGCCGGCCGTGCAGGGGGTTGGGGCACGTCTGGGCTGCTGACCACGCCCGGTTCTGTTGGCCAGTGGCCGAGCCGATCAGTGCATGCGCAGAAACACGCGGAGAAGGATGGGGAGAGGGGTCAGGAGACAGTAGCCGTGGAACAGCTGCGTAATTAGCGAGGGGCCCCCAGTGGGCTGCTGCTGCTGAGGAAAGAGGAGGAGGTGATGGTCCTGAGAGGGACTGTTTCAGATGCCTCGCTTTTAAGGTGTCAGTCTCCAGGCATCGACAACATAGCAATTTCAGATGAATCCTTAGAAGAGGGTGAGAGCTCCAACGGGAAGACTGGAGTGAGGTGGGAACCCCTGGAAAGGGGAAACAGGGAGCAATATGGCCCTTATTGCCATCAAAACCCGACAGTGTAGTCCTTTCTTTCATTTCCTTATCCAAGTTCTAATTGGGGTAGAGAGGAATGAATATCAGTTTCAGTTCTTCTCCCTCCATCTGCCTAATGAGAGATACCATGTACTAAGAAGCAGAGAGAAATGAAGCATGAAAAGGAGCCAAAGTAAAGGGCTTGACTTTGCGGCCACCTGAGTGATAAGCTCTCTAACAGCCGCTGGGCACTGATCAGCTCGGCCACTGGCCAACAGAACCGGGCGTGGTCAGCAGCCCAGACGTGCCCCAACCCCCTGCACGGCCGGCTGGAGAACTGGAGCAAACACAAGTGTTTTCAAAGTGACCAAAGAGAAAAGAATGCGATGGTCTTGTTCTTGGTATCTGATCAAAGAGCTATTTCCCAGATGCAGAAAAGCACGGTACTGAGCGGAACGCATCGCTTTACAGCAGTAGGAACGCTGGGTGTGGCCACATGCACAAAATCCAGACATGAGCTATGGTGGACAGAAGGCAGATGGGGAGCTGCCCTGGCTATCCCTGTTCACTCTTCCGTCCCTTCTCCTGATGGTTGTTGAGGACCTACTACATGCCAGGCACTGCCCATGGCCCTGGGATACTTAAAATGCAAAAGGCACAGCTTCTAATGCTCTCTTGGGGAGACAGGTGTGTAAGTGGTTATCCGCAGCACTAGGAGGGTGGCAGGGTTATGCACAGGCAGGCAACGAGGGAGGCGCCCACCCAGGAATGGAGTGACTAGCTGGTGTGGCACAGCTCTGTCCCCCAGGCATAGCCAGTGGAGGGGCCAGGCTCCAATCATTACACTTTGAAAGAAGCTTGTTGGAGGTAAAACAAGGTGCTATGACAAGATATAGACCGAGTGAGCTCGGGGCGCGAAGAAGCAGCTATATAATTCAGAAAGATGAAGTCTTTGGCCACAGGATATGACAGTGAGTCAGCGTTAACTCGGATTTTATAAGCGCCTAATTAATCCTATCAACAACCCTGCGAAATGGTGTTTATTGCCCACTTGTATCAATAAGGAAACCAAGGCTCTGAAAGATTAGTGACTTCCTTTTGTTAACAAGTAGCCAAGCTGGGAATCCAAACAAGGTTTTCTAAGCCCGGGTCCAATGCAGAGTTCTTTCCACTACATTGATTTAGTAGGAGAGAACACACACACACACACACACACACTTCCAAAGTTGAGAATGGAAAGAGATCACTTTTGAGTGGGGTGATCTGAGAAGGTCTCAAGACGCAGGTGGTATCTGTGCCCGGCTGGACAAGCAGGCAGGGAGCAGAAGGACCCATGGGCATGGGGAGAAGAGGTGGGGGAAGGGATAGACTTAGAATCTGAACACCCTCTACAGGGGATGCTCTTACCCTGCTAAGAAGACTTGGGGAAGCTTCACAGAGGAGGTGACAATTGATATGAATCTACACATGTGAACAGAGGCTCACCAGCTCAAGAAGAGAGCTAGTGCCACAGCTAATTGGCCCCGGGCGGGGGGTGGCTGGTTACTGGTGGGCAACCATACGCAGCCCGGGGCCCATCTGGCTCATGCTCAGGGCTTGCACTGCCTCTTGGGGAGAGACAGATATGCCACTTGGTCTCTTCTCATTAAGAACAAATAATAGAAAGAAAGGACATGTTGAAGAATGAAGGAGAAAGTGAGGGAGGAAGGAAAGCATGGAAGGGTGGACTCGCTCAGTAAAGGACCAGGTTTGGATCCTGTTTCTGTTCCAGTGTGTGTGAGTGACTTTAAGCCTCTTGGTTGATTTTCTGTGGATCGCTTTCCTCGTATATGGGAGAAAGAGGATAAATCCTAACCTAACTCACAGGCTAATGAGAAATTAGAAGTGAACATATTTGAAAAGTTTCACAACAACGCACAGAGAGGGAACGTTATCAGTGTCATGTCATAGGCGAGGCCTGCGGCTGAGCAGATGGGCTGGCTGACTAAGATGGTCTCAGAACCACACAGCTTTTGCCAAACACAGTGCTTCATGGATTCATAATAAGTGTTCAGAGTCACGGGATCTCAGAGCTAACACAGTGCGGTGGCTCTGAAGAGGGTGTGTGTTCTTGCTAAGGCTTCCGGACATGTCCCAGCAGCCCTGCCCACTACCGTCCCAGGGAGTCAAGCTATTGGGCAGGAGAGGGGAGAGGAGGCCCACTCACCCGCTGCCTCCCGGTGCACATGCATGTGCACACGCACCCGCTCACGGCTGCCTCCAGCTGGCAGGCAGGGAGCTCCAGGGATTCTGTGAGCGATGCTTCCACGTTCATACCAGGCCACAGGGCAGACTTTCAGGGCCTCTGCCCCTTCCTGGAAAAGCACACCCCTGAGAGGATGACCTCATAGCCGGTGTCTGAGCCAGGCCTATTTATGCCTGTGGTCCGAGTGTCATTGCTCCTAGCACCCCCTTTCCCTCTCGAAAGTGTCCCGGCTGAAGGTCATTTCCAGGGTCCCCTTGCCCACGGCCTCCCGGGTGAAGCCTCCTTGTGATCCTCTTGGGGGGCCGATTCTGCGCGACCCAGACTCTGCCTGTGTGCGGCAGAGTCCTCCGTGCATGACCCTCGTTTCTGCCTCGTTTCAGGTGCATAGCGTGATGTCCATGTTGTTCTACACTCTGATCACAGCTCTTCTGATCGGCATCCAGGCAGAACCACAGGCAGAGAGCGATGTCCCAGCAGGGCACCCCGTCCCCCAAGCCCACTGGACGAACCTGCAGCATTCCCTCGACACAGCCCTCCGCCGAGCCCGCAGCGCCCCGGCCCGGGCGATAGCCGCCAGGGTGGCCGGGCAGACCTGCAACATCACTGTGGACCCCAAGCTTTTTAAGAAGCGGCGACTGC